AGCTACAACACAGGTATCAGACAGAAACTTTTACATACAGTGCTTCTAGTGACTGTAAAAGCTCCAGCGGACTCTCTGTGTTTCCAGAGTGGACACAGAGTGTCTGACAGCAGCTGCTCATTAGCTCTGACTACCAGCTCTCTATTCCTGCTACACTACTGTGGCCAGTCTCTCCGGTCGGTGTCGAGACTGCGCCCCCTAAAGTCACTGTCCTTTGCAGAACTGAGGGTGTAGGGACTGAGACTGCTGTTTTTGGCCACAGCAGGCAGCTGTTTTTGTCACAAAGTCACCAGGAGAGACCTTTTTTGTGCTTTGCATTATATTAATTTATTCTTATGTCTGTGAATTGTGTTGAAGTGTCTCTCTCTCCTGTGTGGCTGAAGGACCTCCCCTTGCAGCAACCTGGCACACCTGCAAGTACTAATCACCTTCCCAATTAGATAAAAAGGAGGAAGTTTGGAGCAGGAAGAGGCCAGGGGAAATCCAACAGATACAACAAGAGAAGAAACAGGAGCAGCAAAGGATGTGCTGGCTGAACTACACCTTGCCTCCCCCCCTTACCTGCAGTCAAGGAGAAGTAAGGACTGGCTGGACAGCTTTTGGACCCCTGGTAAAGACTCTTTTAAAAGACTGCCCTTTCACCACCCCCATCTTTGTTTTTTTACCAAAAAGAAACTGCCTGTGTTAATAAACTACATTATTGAACTTCTGACTCTGCCTACTTGTTTAACCAGAGAGTAAAGAAACCTGTGACATACACACAAAAACATGAGTGACATGATTTTTTTTCATCTCAAAAATGAAATGACTATTTTTGCATTGTTAACAAAAGCAATACAAACTGACTTTGCTTTAATAAATGCTTTACCTTGTGTGTGTATGAGTGTAATGATCAGTGCAAAATATTTGCCAAAAATGGCTGGAGGAAGCTTGAGAGGAAACCCAAGTCACTTTGGTGTGAGGTGCCTTCTGATTTCCTTCTATCACAGGTACAGAGTGGCTTATTTGGAGAAATAGGAAGATGTTGGGCTGCAAGGGCCGATGACAGGGTTGCAAACACAAATATTCTATAAGTAGATCATGAGGGCTTCATTCGCCAAAGCCAGGAAGTTAGGAGTGGTCAGATGATTAATAAACCGGATGTTAGCTGGCTTGACTGCAGTGTGCTTGGTCTGTTGGCCAAATAATGTGGAAGCATATGTGGGAGATCCAGGCAACTTTATACCAGAAAGTCAAACTCTTAAGTGCTACTGAGCAGCATTCATAGGAATGAACAGAGCCTTGCCTCTAATGCTATATCCATTTCTTTTTAAACTGTAACATTTAGGAGAATCCACTTGCGGAAATGCTATATTATATTCATAGGTATAGATATTCATTAGTATATAATCACCTGAAATTTTTTTTTGTTACCTTTAGAATGAGACATTTTTTTTCTAAAGAGGGAGTGGGTCCTCTTCTATCGAGTCTGGAGTGTTTCTACAGTAAGCCAGAATGGACAAACCAAACACTGGCTCTAGAAAGGGCCTTTCACGTTTTTGGCAAGCACAGTAGTTTCGCTTACTCACTTGGAAGGCAAGTAGTATTCCATTGTTTGCAGTCTGCAACTTTACCACTAGATGCCATCTCATATTTCAGGCTCCTCTGTTGGATTTGAGCTCGCTCTTTCTGTGAATGGGTCTCCATGCTGTGTAGCAAGCCTCCTGAATTTACACACAAAATGCTGTCAAAAGCTCCTAGTGATGCACGGGTTGACCTGTAGGTCGGGCGGGTTTGGCTTACTGGAAAATATCATAAGTTCGGACGGGCAGGTCCAAAAGTGACAAAGCAGCCTTCCATATTGCCTGAGTTATTAATAAGTTACAGAAACATTGTAGACTGATGTGAGGCATGAAACTTCGGCCATGAGGCCCTGATCCCTGCCATTCCTAGGGTATTTCTTTACCAGAAAGTTAAATGTTGTTTTGCAAATGTTTTTTGGGAGGGAACAAACTGCCTTTAAATCAAGCTGCTTATTGATGTTAAATAATATCAGAAAGATTAGATTTGCGCTCTTTCTCAAAATAAAATGACAGAAGTCTGTTTTCTTGACATAATACATAGATTATTGATTTAGTTCATCAATATTTTCTCCACAGATGAAGGACATAAACAAATTTTCAGCTACGCTCTGCTTCCCTGTCAGCTTATTCAAGACATTTCCTAGTCTAGCTGGTATTAGTGTATTTACACATTGGGTGTACAGTGGTTACTGCCAGCCAATGGCTGAATGTGTCAACAATCAGTCATGCAAAACGATCAGAAGTATGAATGTATGAGTTAAAATGCAGTCTTTTAGGCTATTCCTGCAGCAGCAGAAATATCTCCTTGACTTGTGTCTGAAGAATCTCCCTGGCTTCAATACTGAGAAGATGATAGCACATTTCATTTTAGTGGGCTTGCTCTGTGGTCTCTCCTTCAGTCATGGTAATACATACACTGTTTTTATTACACTGTGTAAACTCATATGTAAGTGCTGTTGTCTATTTTACTACTTATTACTTGATAAAATCCATCTACTGTGTGTATATGTACTGGTAATTTGTCTGTTTATTTTTCAGTTTCTTCAGAATGTATACGGGAGCTTCTGGTCAATATGGATTTTCCAGGAACAGACATAGCGTATGTCTTCTCTCCTGATGCTGAGCACTGTCAGCACATGTGCACCCAGCACTCCTCCTGTCTCTTCTTCTCCTTCCTTCGGCCTGACTGGACTGGAGATAACAGGTACAAAACATACAACAGAAACTGATTAAGGGGTGGTGTATTTTTTTAAATATGCCTAAACAAAACAAAACAATGAAAATAAATCTCAATCAACACAACTGTACCTGTCAAAAGGTTTTTGTTAGAGTATTTTCTGATCACCTTGACGTCAGTTTTCACAACAGAGATTCAGTGTGTTATAATCTTAATTTGGCCTCAAAACACCTCTTACATAGCATGCAAAGTGAGAGCGTTTGTGTCATTTTGGATCATGCTTTAAAATAATCAGAGTATCACAGCATTGTCTATGCTCAGCAGTGATTGTTGCATCTTAAAATAAAATAGTCATTATGAAATAGTTTTGTCTCAACTTATCCTAATCAAACATTTTCCTTGAGGATTTTACAAACAAGAAAATGTAAAGATTTCCCAAACATTTCCCAAAAAACTGTCACTTTATGTGCTAAATATACGCCATTTGACCATCAAAGTACAAATATAAATGCTAACATAAAGTCTAACGTTAGGTGATTGTGATTTTTGTGATTATCCTGCTAATCGTAAGGATGAATATTTGCATTCTTGTAGTAACAAACACACAACTTTCCTCCAACCACAGTTGCAATTAAGTCATTCCCTAACTGCCAGTTGCTGACCTCTCTCTCCACCAGGCACTTTTACTGCTACCTCAAGTCCACTCCCTCTGGAAAGCCCAATGTTCAGAGCCCTGTACAGGGTATCACCTCTGGCTTTTCTCTCAAACCCTGCCACCCAGACCTACGTAGGCATACAATCATTTTAAACCACCATGATAATCATTAGTAATTAATATGGTGAAACTTTCCTTAACTCTCTGTTGGGCTATTTTTCTTCCAGAGCCTTGTCTGCCTCAGGCGTATCATCACGTGGACTTCCCAGGAGCAGACTACCAAACCCTGTTCACAGCAGACTATGAGGAGTGTCAGAGAGCCTGCACACGTGATCCTGCATGTCAGTTTTTTACTTTTCTCAAACAGGACTTTACACCTCTGACAGTCAGGTAAATAATAATCGTTTTACATTGGATTTTTAATTAATTAATTAATTTAATTATTTTTTTGAACAAAAGCCCAGAGGTATACATAATATCATTGGTTGAGACAAACCTGTTTTAGGGCCGAGTAATTTTAGACAAGACACAGCTTAAAAGAAAAAACAAAGATACGCTCACCACTGAGCTGCCCAATACCACTGAGCTCTATGAACTGCTGCCACCTGAGTTGCTTCAATGCAGCCAAACAATAGTGCTAAAGTTCAGTCATGGCATTCTGTAATGATGTTATTTTTCTTTCTGTGTTTAGGTATAAGTGCCACCTTAAATTCAGCTGGTCAGTACCAAGGATACCTCAAATAATTCGACTTGACACGAGAATATCTGGATTCTCGCAAAGGATGCAAATAGCTCAAAACCTTAACCCAGGTAATCAAACACTCAAAGGAAATGTTGTAGCATTGGTTGTAGCAACATCCTGCAGACTGTTGTGTGTGCGTTCTCATTGTACTTCTTGTTTTATACAGAATGTGAGGGCAAGCTTTTTCCAAACACTGACGTCCCAATAAGCAACATCGAGGTTTTACCTGCTGCTTCTCCTGAACACTGTCAGATATACTGCTCTGCTCATCCACTCTGCACCTACTTCACTTACATCAGGTAGATTGTGTTGTCTTAGTGTCTTAGTGAACAGCTGCAGTTTTTCATCCCATGTGGCAAACAGGTGAAGGCTATCAAATGGTATTAAAAAAAATAAAAAACAAGACTACCATGGAATGAGAACATCTAGATATTAAATTAGTCTTTGGCTGACAGTATCTCAACTACCCAGTGTTACCAGATTGGGAAATTTTTCTCCCACTTGAGTAAAACGGGTTTGTAACTTTTTGTAACATTTGTTGTGTTTCATTTCTAACAGAAGTTTTATCTCATTTTCCAGTGAACTGACCCATGTATACACACACACACAAACACAGCAACACACTGCGACACTAACTATCCTTATGTGGTTGAATTTTTTTCCTCTCAACTTTGTATTATCATTTATACCTGTATTTACCTGTGTTTCTGTTGTCACAATGTTTTCAGTCATACATTCAACTGTTACCTGAAGCACAATCCAGGTGAAATAGTCCTCAAAGCTGTAGCGGGATACACATCTGGGTTACCAGCACGCTTCTGTCAGCTGGACAACAGTATGTAACACATACCAAATCTCTTCCATCCAAAATACTGGTATCACTCAACAAATATGAAGCTGCATATTTGTTCTGTTTATATTTAGCACTGACTTTCTGCAGCAGTCTAACCCTGTACCCCTCTCTGCTAACAGACTGGATTAAGAAGGCTTATGTAGGAATAGATTTCCCACATTCTGATATTCGCAACTTTCTGACGAGTGACGTTGAGGCGTGCCAGAGAACCTGTACTGAGGATCCCAACTGCCAGTACTACAGCTACATCACTGAAACGTACAGTGACCCTGCCCACAGGTACAGTATGTCATATGACTCAGTATCCACAAGCCAATACTTAACTTAATCCTCAATCAGTTATTGTAGCCCCACTTTGCAATTGAAGACAGGTGTATTTTTCTATTTATCATAAAATCTGTCATGGTACATCACTGAGATGCTGCTGATGATTTTGTGTTTTAGGCGCCGCTGCTATCTCAAGCGTGTCATCACCATGCCTGTTCCTCCCAGAGTTACTAAACTGGCCAATGCTGTGTCTGGATTCTCCCTGAGTAACTGTCATTATAAAGGCATGGTTTGATTCCAACATTTAAACAGACATTGGAATACACACATAATCAACACATAATCAATGTAATCAACATCAGTGTAATCCACACATAATCAATGTCATCAACATCAATGTAATCCACACGTAATGTAATCAACATCAGTGTAATCCATATATATTCCAATAAAAGATTCAGCAAGCAATATGTGTACTTTACTTTATTTTTATATAACACTTAAGAGACTTTCTCTCACCTTGCTATTCTCATTACAGCCTCACTCCCTCCATATTGAAATGTCCTCTTTTTCACTTAGTTTAGCTCACACATTTACCGTTCCTAGCGTGTCATATGTGACCATACATTGCATTGTACCACTCTAACTAGTATGTTTTACATTAAAATGTGTACTTGCTCTGCTACAGTGGTTGTTACCTTTTCCTCCCTGTCATTGGTTTGTGGTACTATATAATACAATTTAGCTGAGGGGAATTCACCTCAGTCCCTGCAGTTCTTCCTTGCCTCCTGCACATGTGTAGTTTTGACAGCAGAGGTCACTAGACTACATGTTGTGATGGCCCCAGCACCAGTTGCCTTGGTCCTACAGTGTATATAGTGTGTGTGTGCAGGTGTGTTGCTATGATTTAAGATTATTAGTTATTTAAGCCTGTTTTACACTAATAACCACATATAAGCCACTGCATTGATGCACTTCATACGTCACTGATAGTAACTTCCCACTAAAAACGTGTTATTGTTGCCAGTCGTGGTGTGCATCTACCTTCTTCTTTGTTGTGTTCACAATGTATACCACAGCTGCTCTTCCTGTCTCCGGTTCATTCTAATTTTATACCTTTAGTACTCTAAATGTATAAATCCAAAAACATACAATTACATACATACAAACTTCAGAAGAGGACTTCAGAAGATGTAACCTGTGGATCACAGCAAAACTTTAAGTAATTTCACTGCCACACAGGCAAATAACAAAATATCAATCGCCCCTTGACGTTAAACTGCACTCTGAATCAGCCAATATCTCTGAGAAGCTTGTGGTGACATCTGGGAGTTCATAGTTCATAAAAGCTTGCATGCAGCTACAGCAGCATATAGCACACCTAGCCAAAACTAATGCAATCTTAAATACATCACCATTTAATCTATGCATGCTCATTTAAGCCTATGACTATCGAAATATCCATTCTTCTTGTGTCTTTGTTTTGTTTTCACAGCAGGGCAGAGGTGTATCAGAATCAGAATCAGAAATATCTGATTGCAGGTAGAGGTGCCAATCAATCACTAAATGAGCCAACAATCAGTCATAAAGTACAAATGTGGGGACACAAAAAACAGAATCTTGAATGGCTTAAGAACTCAGAAGATGAGAGCAGGTCATTTTAGTGTATAGCTCAAATCATAAATTGTCTTAGAGGGTTATCGGTACACATCTCTGTCCTCAGACATAAATCATATAATAGCATAAATTACATGCTGTTGTGGCTGCTGTGTAGATGCGTATCTATTTTTCTACTTAACATGTGGTCAAATCTGTGTGCGAATGTACATGTTTTTCCATTTCTTTCGAATGTAGTCCAGAGCTTCTAGAGAACGTAGATTTCCCGGGAAACAGACACAACATTCTTTACTCTTATGACATAGAACATTGTCAACAGCTGTGGACCCAGCATCCCCAGTGCCACTTCTTTACCTTTGTACAGTCTGACGTGATGAAGACTGATGCATAAAAAACAAGTACCACCCTAACTTCTGCTGGACAGTACCAATGACTACTAGGGTGAAAGCAAAAGCTGGTTTAATGATTCTCCCACAAAATGCAAATAACAGTTTGACAGAGGTACACAGACAGTCATCGTAAATGTGGTAGCACTCATCACAGTTTTCTGCTGGTTGTTGTGCATGGTTTTCCACAGTTTTGTCTGTTTATTAACAGCGTGCCAGACAGAAGTTCTTTCCAAACACTCATATCCCAGGATATTCTCAGGACAGAGAATCTGTCTGTTGCCTCTCCTGAACTCTGTTAAGCTCTGTCCACTGCTCATCCACAATGCACCTCTCTTATGCCGGGTAGTGTCTGAATGTACATTTTGATTACGGCAGTCAGTAGTAGTAGCAGTAATTTGGAATGCACAAACTGTGAAAATACACTATAGTATCAGAAAGAACATAATTTATCTAACTTTTCTTTGCTACCCACACCAACCCAATAGGAAGAAGTATACAACCTTTACTTAAGTCAAAAAATACTAATATTGTACTATATAAGTACTCTGCTACAAATAAAGGTCCTGCAATTAAATTGAAGTAAAAAATATGGAAGTATAATCAAGAAAATGTGCTCATTGCAGAAAAATGTCCCCTGTGACTGTTATGTATTATATCATTATATTATTATTGAATGCATGAATGTAAAAGCAGGATCTGACTGTTGTAGTTGGTTGAAGTGGAGCTAACTTTCATTTCATTTGTGTTGGACTGCAGCTAATGATTATTTTCATTCACATTAAAGGGAAACTGCAGTTCAATACTGGACCAGTATCAAAAAGTTGTTGTCACTTAGACACAAAATCATGGGAAAATATGGTCCTGGTTAAATCAGCATTTCCCCCCCTATTAATTGATTTATTGTTTGGTTTGTAAAAATTCAGAAAACAGTGAGAAATGTCTATAAAAATTACCCATCATGACACCAAAAATCCTCAAAACTGGAAGAATTAAATGTTTTTGCATAGAAATCTGGATTTGATTAGGAAATGGAATTACTTAAACAATTGTCATAATAGTTTTGAAGAATTGATTAATCGATTAACTGATTCAGCTGTACTTGTACATAGGCAGCAAAAGACATTGCACACATTAAATCCAATAAATGTTTCAGCACTAATACATGGAGGAGTTTATTTACACGTCAGAGGATAAATCTCTCTCACTGTCTGATTTCAGACACTTTTTTTCTCTCACCTCTGCCTCCTCCCTGCATTGAACCCTCCTCTTTTCCTCCTCAGCTTGAACCACAACGCTGGTCTATTCTGTACACCCATGCCCCACATACACACTCACAAACGCACACACGCGCGCACTTCCCTCCTTTCTCTGTCGTTCCCTTCCCTCCTTCCTCTCTTCTCCCTCCAGCCTCCCCTCCCCCGTGGGAAACCCAGTGCAGTGTAACTGTGGTTGTCCTTCCTGGAAGCTGTGGTGGTGACTCTGGCTCCTCCACTCAGAGGCTAGAATAGTGCCAGCCAGCCTGTGTGTGTGTGTTAGAGAGTGTGTTTGTGTTAGTGTGTGTGTGTGTACTTTAAAGGATCTGTCGGGAGTTTAAGTAAATAGATAAGTGACAAAGTAAACACCCATCCCACACACACACGCACANNTGTGTGTGTGTACGCATGCACCCTCCACAAACATTCCACCACCATACCGTCCGTCCGACCGCCGGCCAGCCTCGCACGAGAGCCACGCCGCCACCGCGGTTCAGTCCTGACGCCAGCCCAGAAGACTCACATTACACACACAAGACGTGTGTGCACACAACACCACATAAACAAAACACTAGGCAAGGCACAAACACACACACACAGCACCACACACACACACGCACACACACAGAGGGCAGCGAGCACATGAGACTGGCTTAAGCACACACTAGCACACTCACTCGAATAAACAATATGCACTTTGCGGAACACACACATTTTTGGACCGCAGGCCACAGACATTGCATCCTGAAGTAGATCAAAGCGTTCTCCAGCAGTAAACACACACAAGGCTCTTCTCTGCTCTCTCATCCCCGCGGAGCCGTTTTGGTGAAGCACGGCACAATTATGCTGATCTTCTTGAGAAACAACTCGTTGCAACTGTCATTCATCATTGTTGGGGGGGGGGGGGTTCTTCTGCACCCTCTACGTGCTGGCCTGCTCTCTGTGATTCACACTATTTCTCCTCCTGTCCTTTTAAACCTTCACAGTCCTTCTCATCTCCCCTTAACCCTGTCTCCTGCCTCCTTCCCACCCTGTTATTGAACGTCTACGCCGAATCAGTCACCCAACCACAGCTCTTAAGATCTTTTTCTTTGTTTTCCCCTCTCTCAGTCTCTCTATCCTCCCTCTCGCCCTCTTCTTTACTGTCTGTCCATTGTTGAGGAGACAGTGGCGCAGACAAACTGGGAGAAAAGATATCCGCTGGTGTACCACAAGATTGGAGAGAAAGAATGGCAGAGAGACAGCAGAGGAGAGGAAGATACATAGACTGATATGAGGGTAAAGTTAATTACAGGGGACTGCCAATTAGAGGGCAAAGTGATGGGTCTGTTTGCCTCGCCGCGGCATCCCAAAAACATCACCAGCTCCCACCATGTTTATCCTCTGCAGCCACAAGACCACAGCTCCCATCAGCCATCACTGGAGACAGCTTAGATACCAAGGGGGTTACGGCTGGGGAACATACAAGCAATGTTTGCAGACATGGCTAACATGGATAAGTGGCTAACTTGTAGCTTTCAACCATTCCTTTGCCGTTTGTATCGATGGCAGATAATTTGTAGTTGCAAGTACACGTTGCCATGCAGTCAGAAGAAACACACATAAACATGAAAAAGGTAAAGGCACTTAGTCTTTATAGAGATTTTTGTCGAACATTCTTCAGAATTGGAAATTGTAATCAAATGTATAAATGTTTTGGAAAACAAAAACAAATATCACAGTTAAAATTCAGTAAAAACTCAACGTCACTCTGTTGAGCGTTATATATATGGCTCTGTTGGACACTGTGTATGTGTGTATTTGTCAAGCAAGGAGAATTTATTTAAATCTTCTATTCCTTTACATTCCTTCATTAATCCATTATATATGATTGTTTGTGATTATCTGAAACCTCACCCACAGTCTGATATGGCTTTTAGAGTCCCTCAAAAGCAGAGACAATCATCAAAGGTTCAATACTTCTTACTCCAAAGGTATCATATTTGCTACATGGTGCACATGGGAGCTCCAGGTGCACTGTACAGAGTTCATTTGGAAAACAAAATCAGAGTCGAACCTCAGAAAGCTCCGATCTCAGTCCCCCATCCCTGGGCCGACTTGGCTGATGCGTTCAAGCCCCTGCGTTGCACTGCTGAAGACCCCAGAGGTGCGAATGGCCTGAAAGAAACTTGCGGTGGGGCAGAATTTGATGAAGTAGAAGAGGAGGAGGTAGAAGGAGAGGAAGAGGAAGGGGGGAGGAGAGGCGAGGCCCTAGTGGCGCTGTGAGGGGACGGCTGGGTCGGTCTGGAAGGGCCAAGGACCGGAGACGCTGCAAGGGAGGGCACCCTGTGGACGGTTGCCAGGGCTGTGGGTGCGAGGAGCTGTGGTGCGCCCTGCTGGCACCCGGCCAGCGGGGCGAGGCGGAGGGAGGCGGGCGATGGGTAGCTCCCCAGCAGGGCCAGATCCCTTCGCCCACTGGGGAAAGGAGATGAGGAGGAAGCCTGTGAGGTGGGGGAGATCTGAGGGAAAGATGCCCATGGCCAAGGAGGAAAGGGCAGGGCGGAGGCCGGAGGTGACTGTAGGAGGAGAGGGTCTAGCTCACTTGCGCAGTGGGAAAGGTGGGAGACCAGACGGGCTCCTATAGGGTCCGGGGACTCCCCATCAAGGGAGCTGAGATATCGCACCACCTCCCCAACACACTCTCTAAAGCCCAGGGTCCTGTAGTCAACTGCCAGAGCCCTCGCATCAAAGTAACCTGGGAGGGAAAAAGAGAGTTTTGTCATACAGTGAATAATAGTAATAGAATGCAGTCAGTCATGAACAACTTACTTCATACTGTGTTTCATCTCTTGACCAAAAAAGAGGACAATAAATAATGACATTTACTCATTAAATTTACTTAATTTTTTAACTTTTTTGTATGTGCTTTAGTTTTTCTTTTGTTTTTTTTACCAATATTCTAAGGGCTTATTGTGTCTATTCTCCAAACACAGAAGACAAGCGGAAAAAAATAGAAAGCAATTTTTTTGGCAAGAAACAAACTCACAAGTCTCACCTTTTCCTCCCATGGCATGCAGGAGTTTAAGGTGGTCCACAGTCATCTGCAGGATCTCTGCTTTCTCCAGCTTAGACGAACCCTGCAAGAAAAATGAGCCATAATTACTTAAACTGGTTTTACTTCTGTCATTGATATAGTGGTTTTAATTGATAATAATATTATAATAATAAACAATAATAATAGAGGTTTTAGTTGCAGTTAGCGAGCAGTTACCTGTTTCTCAAAAGCACTTGGCACCAGCCTCCTGAGCTCCGACAGGCTGTGGTTGATCCGGTCTCTGCGCCTCTTCTCTATGATCTACAAGAAGAGCAGAGGGACAGTCAAGGCCAACCATAACGACAGGACTAAAAAGATTAAGATCCAAGGCTATAATCCACTCACCCCTCTTCTCTTCTTTCGGGCAAGAATCTGTGAGGCGCTGCCAGGAGACATGGACCCGGTGACTGGGCTGTACCATGGAAACAGGGAGAGAGAAAGAGGGAGATGGGGGGATGACATTGGCACAGAGAGAAACATGGTGACTTTGATTCTCCTGCATATTGTTATTATTACTCTCCTTAATATGACACAGAGGCAGGATGGCACATCAGCTCCCTTCAATCTAATTTGTTTTTTGGGCACAGAAAGGCATAGGAGTACCCGGGAGAGGAGGGAAGACGAGATTGTTTTTGGTTTAATGCGTTTCTGGACATTAGTCTCAGTGAAATGACATGCTGTTCTTCTTTCCATCTGAGCGAAAGCACTTTTAGAAAGATGATTATATAGCCTCGGGGCGATGCTTTCGCTCGCATGGGGCTTCAACATGCAGCATGGGATCAGAGCTCCTCCGAGCACAGTCACTCAATATGGATTGTGTTTGTTTGTGAACTCTCATCTTACAGGCCTGAAAGAGCCTGACAGCTTGGAGTTCCCTTCAAACTCCACCACCAGAGACTTATTGAGTTTCTATTAGATTTTAACATGAAGGCTGCCAATTTAGCTGTGTGTTTTTGTTTAGGTTTATGTTTGATGGGGCTGACTTGAAAAGACTGCGTTGTCTTCTGTTTGCGTGTCACATGGCAATTTGATTTATCCAAACTGTCTTTAGTGTTACTGGCTTGCTCAGTGCCTGTGATGTAACCAGTACTAAAGTGAATGTATTTCTGTGTAATGCAGATGCACTGATACACATACAGTAATGCAGTAATTCATACACTGTATTGAATACTCTTTTAATACTCTCTCTTAATACACATCTCTGTAATTCCAGCTAAAAAAATGTACTAATTCACATAAAAAGCAATATAGTAAAATTATTTGTAAAGAGTGTTTGTTAGTCAAGCGTCATTTTACTGCTCATCAGACATTTTGCACACCACTGCATCATATTATATATAATTAAGCCTGGCATTGTAGGTTTGCATTTAAAGGTTCGAAGGATTTCTTTATTTCAAATAAAAAGTATTTCAGTTTGTAGTTTACGTTATAGCTTTGTAGTTTGCATCGTATCCCTTATGTAACTACATATAACTATATGCATATGATGAACAATCTATTATAAATCTATATTATATCAAGTTTCCTGTGTAAAATATTGAGCCATAATACAATAAAGTTGAAAAGAATAAGTCAATTTAACTGAATAAACTTTCAGTATTTCAGTATTTTTGAAAGTGAATGAAATCCCTCAAATAAAGCGAAATGTTTGTATAATAAAAAAAGTATAATAGAATATTTTAATAGTATTCATTCACATGCAGTGTGTCTCAAATGTTCCAACAAAACTCTAACAAATCCTCAGCACATTTAATGTGTGTTGTCTCTCTCAGTTGCTTTCGTGTTAATTTGACAGTTCAGTTCCTGTTTTATACAACATCAACTGGAAAGGATTAAAAACGTAATATTGCTAAATCACAACAACCATAATTTGCATTTATAAATTAACCTAAAAATATTGGATTATTCAATTGTGAATCTTGACTCAAGACTTTTTAAATGAGCTTAAATATTTTTATTTTTTTAATTATACACTGTCAGAAAATTTTGCTCGTCACTTTAATCCCTGTCTCTATGCCTCAGACAGGACAGGCCTTACGTCATTTTTAACCTACACTTATTCTAATGCATGTCATGCATGAATGACTTATAAACCTATTTGCTTACACAGACAAATATAAGGAGCAAACATGACATAATTTCACTGATTTGCAATTAAAGTATATTTCAATGAACATGGGAGATTTGCTGCCAGAGGCCTGAAGTTAGACTTAATATTTACAGCTAAGGTTTGCTGGAAGGTGTGTCAACACTTTCTGGAGAGGGGTAAATTACTTTAAGAAAATGTTTGTTTAAGCTGAATGCAGAAAATGCTTAAGAGTAGGTATCTTTTTTTCCCTTTATAAACAGAATCTGCTTCTGAGACTTAAAAATGGAAACTTTTCCTGTCGTCTTTAAACTTGTCTGCAATTCTGTTTATGAATGCGTGAAAATGCTTGTAAAGCCCACAGTTCACTGCCAAATATGTTTAGAGCAAATTTGCCTTAAGCTGCTAATTGCAGCAGTACACTATGTCATTTTCCTTTAAAGTGTGATTGGAGGGCATGTGTTACAACCTCAGGTGTGGTTGGCGGATGCTCACCAAAAGCTGTCTTCTTGTCCCACGTCAATAAACTCGTCTGTGTCCGAGTCTGGGGAGCTGTAGTCGTGAGGTCTCTTCATGTCTCTGCCTCTTCCTCTCTGGCTGGACTGACTGATGGATGGATAGATGATGGACTGCTGGATCTGGGTGATGTTGTCGGCCACTCTCGCTGCTGTAGATCGTCTCCCCTCTGGACGGAGCGCTCACCCTGTGTGCCCCTCACTGTTTCTCTTGCGCTGTTACTTATAAAAGCCTTGTTGTCCTTAGTTACTTCTCGTCAATTGTGTTTGTTTTGTTGTTTCTTCATGTGTCTTCTGTCCTATCCTCTGTGAGTCAGCAGTGCCACTTGATCGACCCCCAAGGGCCCATGGCAACTAAGAAAATTCACAAGCTGCTTTAGTCTTTTACTCTATCACTGGCATCCAATCATAGTCTCTCACTCTCTCTCCCTCGCTGTTATTTCTCTCTTGGCTCCCTCTCTCTGTCACAGCCACCCAATGACAAAATAGGACTTTGGCAGTTGGGGCAGGGTTGCCAGTTTTGGCTCCCCCGCCTCTTCTCCCTGTCCCTCCTCCCTCCCTTTAATCTGGCCCTCCCCAGCTTCCCTCCCTCCCCACCACCCCGGCCCCATCTTTCCACCCCTTTGCTCAGTCATCCTCAGTCAATTAGCCTCCAATCTCGTCCTGCTCTCCTTCCTTCCCTCTTTCTATCCTCCTTTCTTCCTCTTTTTTGCTCCTTTAATTATACTGCTTTGTTGAACAATGGCAGCGGGAGGGAGGGAAGGAGAGAGGTGAGGAGTGTGGGAATGATGGACTGTGAAAACACTCCATCATCTACAATGTGTGACAGTGCGTAAAGCTTGACTCTCACACACTCAAGCAGGTGACTGGGAGAATGGAGTTATTGAAGTACTTTTTGTGAGTAAGTGTGAAAGACAGACGGCAGAGAGAGAAAGCTTTATTGCAGTGATAAAAATGACCTCTAGGCAGCTGTCAGTGACCAGCAAATATGAAGAAAAATCAAAATATAGGGCGCAGTTTTTCCCCCATTATCCTTACTTCTTCCTAACAATACATCATATTGCTTTATTCCTGCTTACTAGTAAAGTAAAATCGTTTATACCAATTTCCCAACCAGTCAGGGATACCACCACAGCCTTATC